AGGGATGAACACCAAACTGGGACAAGTGAAACCCCAAAGGGATATGAGAGGCTCCCTCCCGCTTAGGTAGTGTGAACTCTCAAAGACCCGTCAGCCCAACCAGACTCGACTCTGATTCTTCCTTCTGAACCTTCCCTCTTAGGGAAAATGCAGTCACTACAAGTAAGTGTTACTTATTGAGAGGGGAGAATTACTGTGCGTCAGAAACATTTGATATTGAGTGTTCAGTATTTAGGGGTATCCTGATCAATTACTAAATTCATCCTGGTTAATCTATTAACTTTAATACAACAAAGAAAGACTTCTTCAGAAAAGGCAGATCATTTATGGGGTGGGGGTGGGAACCTGAGCCTTGCCCAGCAATATTAAATGCTAGAGGAGCAATGTTTACAGTTCCCATGGGAAGAAAATGTGAAAATATCGCATCCATGTCACTCAAACAATAATGGTCATGGCAGATATAGTACTGTGAGTCTTGAAGACATTTCTTCATCATGAAATCCAACCAATTTAGACCAGATCAAAGTAAAAACTTTGGAATGAAGTCATTATGCTACAAGGCCGAGTGGTGAGCACCACATCCACTAAAGATCACATGAGTATTGAACGGACGGTTATGGTTAAAGACCCATTGTTAATGTCATAAACCTGGACAGTTTAAAAATACCAATACTACCCGAGGCAGGAGGTGGTAGGGAGGGGTAATGGGAGGAAGTATGAGCATACTTAGGTATTAATTTTTCATCCCCAAATCAAATTCTGTTCAAAAGTTCAAAATCCTAGTTTCTTTCTGTTGAATTAAAGCAAAATTAACTGAAGAGATTTTCCTAAAACACATTAAAGGAATCTAGAGTATTATCACATTTTATAAGCCTAGTTGGCCTTCTTTCTCTTTTTTCCTTACATAGAGTTAGATATCTGAAGTGATGTTCACCTGACTGCTATGACAGTGGTTCCTGGGTGATGGGCTCTGGTGTGACTCTAAATAATTTCTACCTTTTTCTCCCTGGAATTTGAATTACTTATGAGCATATGCTATTATCCATTTTTACAAATACAAAAAAAAATACCTTTTGTATTTGTGTCCAAAAAAGATGGACACAGATGTGCCACAATGGTGATTAACGATGTTGATTTGGGGTGGTAGGAACAATAATACAGGTATTTTCTTCTTTGCGCTATTTTGTATAGGTGAAGAACGAATATGAGTTAGTGCAGACTACTGTGGTGGCTTTCAGAGGGCCTCACCAGCTCTGCATTCCTCCCACTGACAGATGATTTCTCCTCCCCTTGGTTCTGGGCTGGTGCTGGGACCTGAAAGGCCAATAAATAAAAGGTGGTGGAAGCATCACCTGAATCTTCCTACGGTTGCCATAATAGAAGTACTGGTCTACCTTCCCATTTCTGGACACTAGCTTCCATGCAGAAAGTCTGACTGCAGAGAGGGAGGCCATATGGAGAGAGCCTGGAACCTCACAGACCTTACAGCCTACGATGTTTGGTGTGCAAACTACCTCTATTAGATAGCTCATTTCAGAAGCTTGACTTTGAAGGCAAGTTATGAGCTAAAGTGGTAAATAAGTGATGAAGATTTTTTTACTCTCGAGAAAGGGGATACTACAGCATAAAAGATCTACCCATACAAATAAATGTGTTTGTTTCTAGAACACTTTCTGCCCTCCAAGAATTCTGTTCTGTGAAAGACTACTTCATCTGTTGGTTCTTAGACAGCAAAAATCATGCCTGCTGTTAATCTCAGCTACCATGATTCCTTTAATATCCACTGGATCCCTTTAGGCTGGTGGCTCTTCCTTTCTATACCAAACAATTCTTACTGTATAAGTGATGTTGTAATTTACAACATAGAGCTAAGATAAAAGAAGAAAATTACCACAAATTCCATCACTCAGAGATACCTATCAGTACAACTTTTTTCACCAGTAAAATTTTGATACATGATTCCCTTCCTCTTTCTCTTTACATGTATTTTTATTTGCAAAAATGACCTCATATGTACATAATGTTTTGTAAACTGCACTTTCATGGAAAACTATCTTGTGAACACTTTCAATATCCTTAAATATCCTTCTCCAATATCATTTTCAATATTGCAGTTTTTAGTTTATGTGCTATGGTGAAAAATACAGGATAGAAAGGAGATAGAAAATGCTGGTATTATGGGTACCTAGCACATATTAAGAGTTCAATAAATAGTTACTGGATAAATGAGTGACTGCTAGAATGAGCATATTCTGGCTAGCTAAAACTGAGTGCAACTCTTTAATTGCTACCTTAGGGTAAATTCTGGAAATGGGTCAAAGGCTAAGCATGCCTCTCAGGCAATTTAATGATGATAGGTATTGTCAAATTATTCACTAGGAATATTTTATCAAGTTTTCTCAGACTGGCAGCCCTTTAATGGAGTTTAGTAGCCTTTTTATACCACAGTTTTCCTCTAGAGTTTCTTTAATGAAAGATCGATTTGTCCATGGAAATATTACTGTAAGCTCTGGCAGAGTGAATGCTAGGTTTATTCCCCATTTCCATTCTCGATCACCAGCTGGAGAGCTTATATCATCATCAATCCAAAAAGTGGGGTTAAGTACATTTCACAATTAGCATACACACTGTTTTTACAGTGCTATTTAATATTAATACTAATTAATACTTACTAGAAAGAATATTAGGTACATATGGGCTTTTTAAAACATATATGCAGGCAAATGTATTTGGTTTCAGAAAACCAAATACAAGCCTCATGGTAATTGTGCCTCTCTGTGAGTATCTATACCTACCTATATATCTATATCTATAAAACATTCAAATATAATTAGATTACAAAAGTGCTATTATCATTCAGGCAGACAGAAAATTAGAGCGAGGCTATTTAGGTTCATTTTTGTACTTGGTCTTTGACTCACCTTCATACACAGAATGGAGAGACTGAGGTATGGTGTAATAGTTAATAGCTGACCCTTTCAAGTGAGAAAGACTGTGACCTGGACCTGGCTCTGACATTTGTCTAGCAGTATGATCTTGGGCTGGTTATTTAACCTCAGGCCTCAGTTTTCCAATCTGTAAGACAGGGATGATAGAAATATCTACCTCATAATGATTATTTCAAGGCTTAAAAGAGATCATGGAACATGAGGCGAATGAAATGTTTGGCAGAGAGCCTGGTACATAGTAAATGCGGAATGAACATCAAGTATTATTCCTATTTTATGTGACATAGCCTTAAAAAAAAAAGCAAAGCAGTGAGTGCTAATGGATTATTTTATGTTAGTAAAGAAGGAAGTCATTCATTTTATACATAATCTAAGTGGTGAATCAAAACGGAGCTGTATCTTATCTACACTGTAATTTTAATTAATTTCTGGTATCTATGTTCTATATATATAGAGCATAAATAATATATATACACACATATATTTACTGCCCTCTTATTTAAATTCAGTCTGTGATTTGATACTTTGTTGGAATTAGGACCAGAATATTTTCACTTTTAACAGGTAAATTGATTAAAAATACAAAGACTAATAATTAAAAATAGGCAGTTATTTTTTCCAAGATACATATTTTTAATCTCTAAGAAACCATACTAGAAACTATATTGCTATGGAATAAATTTATGTTTTTCCCTTTTGGATTATACTGGGGTTCAGTGATTCATTTAAAATTTGGAAATTACCTACCACTTGGTATTTGGATATCAAATGGAAAAGAAATTCATGCAAAGTGAAACATTTATACAACTAAAAGAACTTAAGCAAAGTATTCAACTCAGTACATGCAAAGCAAAACAGTTGTGCAGATCAGTGGGTATTTCCTGTGCATTTACAAACCAGAAGAGCTTCAAACATTTTTTTAAATCACTAGAATATGGAAAAGGGCATCATATCATATGTAGGGGGTAAAAGCTCACAGATGGAAATACACAGGGAAAAGCTCATTAACAACAAAAGCCCTCACCTCTCAAGCGAGGAGGCTGGACATAGTGACCTCCAAGGTTTTGTCCATATCTTAAGATTTTTTTTTTCTATTCAGTGTTGTCCAGGCTTAAAGGATATATATTAAAAAGCAACTTTTCCCTAAATTACTCAGATTGTCTACAATAGGCTGTAGAAAAGTAAGATGGAGGGCTTAGGTGGAAAAGGGCAGTGATAAAACCCAATGTTTCTTTGATTTTTCTTTGCTTTGTATGATTACTCTACAGGCTTTAAGCATTGTTATAATAAAGCAAAATCACTGAAAAATCTTTTCCTGTGAATTCTTTTAAAAATTTTTGTTCTCTTTTAAATCTTATTTATGAAGGTTTCCAGATGCTTATCCTCACAGATTAAACACAGCATGATGTAGACACTTACAACAGCATTCACTGCTATGAAGCCAAGAAAAAAACGGCTTCGAGATCTAACTGCCTATCACCGAAAGAATCAGGGTCCAGGGAATTTTCTGTTGCTATTAAAGGTGTGATTGTCTGAAGCCATTTGGAAACAACCTAGGTTCTCAGCAGTAACACACCTACCCTGTACTACGTCAGAGCACATCAAATGTTTGGCATTCCAAACCTTAAGCAGGTTATTTCTCATTATGTGAATACAGAATGAAAGGATGTGGGCAAAGAATAGAATGTAAATTGGAAGCTGACTTCTGAATTTATTAGGCAGCAGTACTGGGCTAAGGCACTCATTCTAATTTCAAGAGACAGTTCCAAAGTGGTTCTCAAGAGAAAGGACAGGGTAGTTTTCAAATATTTGTTCAATGTGAATGGACTGGGCTTGCCAAAAATGACTTTTTATGCTGGCATGTGATCTCTTGGAGGGAAGTCAGCCTGAGTCACTGGAGACATCAAAGGTAGAGTCCAGTGAATGGAATTACTGCAGGCTGTGTGAACAAGCCAGGTACCTGCATTCATCTGCCCACTGCTGGGATTTTGGCCCTCCTTTTAATTACATTAAAGCAGCTGGTACCACTGGTTACTGAAGTCTTCAGATTACCTTGATTGCTCGGTCATTATCTCTAATCAGCTGCTGCTTCTCATCTTCAAACTTCTGTAGAACATCCTGGAGCCGCCTTTCTGCAGCAAGCTGCTGCCGGCTGTTCTCCTCTTTCAGAGAGGAAATGGTTGTCTGAAGTTCTGCTATGATCTAAAATGAAAACAGCATGCTTTAACTTCAAATTCTTCAGTGAAAGGCATCTATTTTATATGTATTTATGCTTAACAAAAGAATGGATTTGGCAAAACTCTAGTCTACAAACTAAATACTTTCAATTAACATATCACACACTATAATGCATGAAATTCCGCACAATAAAGGACTATAATAAAACTGAGTCGTGAACAACTGCTGAACCAAATATATTTGGAAGACATTTCCACTATAACATTCCACAATATTTACTCATCAGAAGAAAGAACATCTGTGATCTCAAAAATATGAAAAGCGTCAGATTTTATTTTACTGAGAAATAGACTTACTAGAATGAAAAAAAAGCTATTTTGCCCTTCATAATAGTTTGAATTGTAATAATCAAAGAAAATAATGAACATTCTTCTTATAGTTACTGAATTCTACGTAGTAATTTTGAATATTCACTAAAGCTTATGTCTTGTGCCAAGTGCTGTAAGAGACACATGGTATTATTGCTCATCTTTTATAAATGGAGAAAGAGAGACAGAGAAATACGTCAATATTTTACACTGTTGAAGATGACAAATGTTCAAGGAGACAGCAGGGTTTGAACTACCCAGTCAGATGAATCGCTGCACTCACTGGTTCTTCTAACTAGCCTAGTTTGTTTTTCTTTTAAACAAGGTTTTGGTACTGAGGAGAAGTTTATTATGACACAGTTCCAAACAGGTTGCTTTCTTCCCAACTGATATATACCCATGAAAGTTTACTTTGGCTCAGCCAGCGTCACTGCAGACTCCTAGAGTACTCACTACGTTTGAAAATCGGTTCTCTCCCTCCCTCCATGTCTGCCAAGGAGTCATCTGGTGAAGGGCCTTTTAATCTCACGGGCTTACTGACAGCATTGCCCCTTCTTGGTTTGCATGTACCCATTTCCTTTCAAATTCAATAGTGATGATTTCTTAAAAGCAGGAAATGGTTGTTTCTTCTAATAAAAGGAACTACCACAGTCCTGGGTTGGAATATAATTCTGTTGGTTCTATGGGAAAGGGATGGTCGGTGAGAAACATTGAACATGTTAGTTATCTTTCTTGCAGTTGTTTTTCCAACAGTTATTTGATGATAAAACTAGATTACACAACTTTACAAGGCAGTAAATAGATACTGTCTGGAGTCTCCCAGAAGCCAGATCCTTTAGAGCTATTAGGTGGTATTACTCCTAACACAAATAACAGCATATTGACAATAAAATATGGAGTATTTATGCTTTTAGAAGTGAGCAAACTCACTGTAACTAAGTTTAACATTTAGAATTTGTAAGTAATCATACATTAAGATAACTGAAATAAATGATAAAATGCTTAATAGCAGTATGTTAATATTTTTAAATGCAAACTTGAAACTTTTGCTGTGAGTGGAGGAATTAATTCACTGAGAATAAAGATGTTTTCATAATTTTGATTTAATGTTTCCATTCTGGCATCAATTCAATTAATTCTCATAGCCCTTCAATGAAACAGGGACAGTTAAATTCTTATAGTAATGTCAAAAACTGAGGCACAGAATAATCAACTCATTCATAGTCACACAGCAAGAGTAGCCTGAGATAAGAAAGAGCCAGATTTCCTTGGCCCAACATGAAACCTAAGATTGATATTTTATAAGAACATGAGGCCAAATAGTAAAAATAACTTACTATTTCAAGGACTATTGCAATGTTTTAAGTTGAGTAAACTATAACTTTGTGGAGTGGTGAGTTTAATTTTGTAACGTGTTCATTGTATGTTCACTGTGCATGTATGTGTGTGTGTGCTTAGTTCTTTGTAATCTGATCACAAGTATAGATTCATATATCCACCACCAGTCATGCAATATGTTGTTTATTTATTATTTATTTTTTATTTTGGTATCGTTAATGTACAATTACTTGAACATTATGGTTACTAGACTCCCCCCATTATCAAGTACCCACCACATACCCCATTACAGTCACTGTCCATCAGTGTAGTAAGATGCTATAGAATCATTACTTGTCTTCTCTGTGTTATACTGCCTTGCCCATGTCCTCCTCCCCTGCTACATTATATGTGCTAATCGTAAT